TCTACCCCTGTGAGAGCCTGTCTGAGTCTCATACCATACAATGAGGACCTCTAGCCATCTCAGAGGAAGGAAAGAGTACATATTCCCACAGAGCACACTTCTGACAACCTGCAGAAGGCTGGCCAAACCTGTAACAGCTGGTTTTGAAATAAGATTAAGCATTACTGCCATTTTTTTTTTGACACAATGTTTCCTTCTGAGAATAAAGTTAATTTATTTTGCCACATCCACTAAGACTTTCAGTGGTATCATCACTGTCCCTCATTTACTCAAATTAAACAGTCAAATAGTACACATGATGACATCTAAAAACAATGCAAGCCGTGATTGTCTTGGTTACTTGAATGCCATGGGGCTTTAACAATCAAAGATTTCAGAATAACCACATCAAGGGAAAATATGCTTAAACACAAAGAAGATGGGCAATACTAATAAAGTTAAAGTAGATATGGTTTGATTCATGAGATGTAAATTTGGCACAGCTAAGGGTTTGAGGAAACAGGGTAAAGGATTCCAAACCACTGAGAAATTAGAAACCTCTCCGACTGTGGCCATGCTAAAGTCTTCTGTTTTAACTAATTGCAGATATCAATGAGCCCAGAGGGAGAAGGAAAAAATGTTCTATCATTATGTTCCACTACAGATTTAGCAAACGTGTTTTCTCTGGTACACAAAGAAACAATCTGTTTATCTGGATGGACTGCCTTCATTTTAGGACAACTAAGTGTTGCTTCTTCTACTCAATTTAGGCCTGAGAATTACTTTTAAAAAATGGGGGGGGGGAAAAAAAGAAAGGAAAAAAAACAAAAAGGAAAAAAAAAACCAAAAAGAAAACAGGGGTGGGAGTAGTAGAAATCTAGAGTCTCCCTACATGAAACAGTGGAAAGAATTCCAATTAGAATATGCTTTTGCACAAATCCTTGTCTTAGAAAAACATAACATTTTTTAATGCAATTCAGCAGCTGTTTGCTTTTCTCATTCAGAAAGATAGCACTTAAAGGGATAGCTACAGTAAATCATAGATTAATAGACATCTGGTGCTATTCCCAGGCTTCTAAGGCAAATAGTAATATTCAGTCTTTAAATATGTGTAATTTTAAATATTATAAACTAGGCATACATCAAAGTTTTTGGAGAAAAATAATGGCTGTCAATAAACGTAGGAAGGAAAAATTGCCTCCTTGCTTAAAAAACAGCTTTAACTGTTTAGAACATTCTGGTTTTATGTTATGTAAAAATATTTGATTCATGCTTATCTGATATTTACAAAACCTTTATTGATGTCTTTATTCAGTAGCAGAGAAATTACATGGCACTTGACTGTAATCCAGCTCTTTATCTTGGATTAAAAAAAGGGAAAGATCGGAGGTACTAGCTTTTTATGTACTTAGGTATTTTAATGGAAATATACTGAGAAAAATTAAAGCATTCTACAGATAGCTTCTGAGATAGAGATTATCAAGATTTTAAAATAAAACTTGTCAGAGTAATTCTACTCTATAAAATGACTCTGTACTGTCATTCTAACTTCTGAAGCAGATTTCCTCCATTTATGAGCAAAAGCATTTTCCCTCTATTAATAACCAGATAAACAAGTACCATACTTAAATGACTACTAATAAATGTTCTTCAGGCCACCACATACCCATGCAACACTATCATCCCATTTGCCAGTTCTAGCAGACTAAACTGTCTGAAAAGCACTTCAGCTACCAGCTGGCAAAGAGAAGGTAAACTTGCTTCAGCTGCAGAGCTAACATAGCTCTACATGGCTAAAACCAACTAGGACTGCCACTGAAAATGCCTGTCTGCAGAGGAACTTCAAAACCCATATAAGAACTGCCTTACTCAGTAGGACACTTAGGTTTTTCCTTACCAAAAACTACGTATGGAGGCAAAGGCATGGACTGCAGATGAATACAACAGCCCACCGACAACAGAAAGGCTGGGCTCTGAGGTCGAGTCGTTGTGATCAAGTCCTGGCATAAATCGGATCCACACTGACATCAAAGGGTGGGACTCCATGCTTCTCAAGTCAGCTCCAGCCAAGTCTTGCGGGTCAGGCTGGTCTGACTTTCCAATATATTAACATCCAAATAGTTAATTTGGGTAAAAAAACAGGAAAAATCCTCAAACAGACAAGTTCTAGAAATTCAGAAAAATTCAGGAAATTACACACAGGTGCGACAGCACGTCACGCTGTGATGGGGGGCGCAACGCCCTCCAAGAGGGCAAGACAGCCCGGTCTCTCTTTGGAAAGTACAGTCCCTTGCATGGAAAATTCTTCACTGCTGCCGCCCAGAGGTTACACGCTGCTAGATTCCCCCTTTCCTGAAAAATACCTGGTGCCTGCTACCCGCTATTTTAGCTCTCTCTGCTGCATCTTCTTCAGGTAGAGTGTACCAACTGCTTGAAGTTGTGTCAGCAAGAGTGTTCAAAATAACGTGAAATCTGTACTGCAAAAATCTGTATTATCACTTATGGACTAAATGAATATTCAATCTAATTCTGCATTAATTATACCGGTGATTAATTTTCCTATTCCTTTTGTTTCTAAAAGATGGCTCCAATGCCTAAAATGTTCCCCAAAATTCACAACAAAAATGAAGTGATTCCAGGCAGATATGAATGATGTCAGGGTATGTTTAATACTCAGTGTGCATAATTCTAGGACACTTTAAGCAAACAAAAGTATCATCACTTAACACCAGAAAATTAGTCAGGTAAAATAAAAGTTCAAGATAAAGTTACCTTAACTGAGGGTTGAATAGATTGGTTTAGATCAATAGAAAATATTGTTCAGGCTTTTATTGATAGGATTTAACATAAGCAATCAAAACACAGGTCTCAACCAATTGTCATTCCCCTTTGAGGCATGGCAACCTTAAAATAATGCTGATTTTCTGGGTGTATTTTTCCATGAAGTACAATGCATGTTCCTCTAAATATCCATGCACTGAAGAGAGAATGGTGCCATTTTATACACAAATCTCAAGCACAAATTTGATCATGGCAGCTTAGCCAACCTAAAAAATAAATTTGATCCCCTGCAAAGGGAAGGTCTGCTCCTATATAATGTCAGACTTCTTTTTTACCATGCAGTGCTGTTGCTTAGCTTGTGCTCTGGTGTACAAACACATTCCGCTTTGTTTAGTGAATCACAGCTCACTAACAGAAAGTAATTCAACAACACCACACACAAATCTGTAACTGGTTTGTGAACTGAATCAGCTTAGTGAATAGCCTGACAAATGCCAGAGCTGCTGTAAGGAGAGGGATATGGCACCTTCTGTTCAAGGACACATGAAAAAACACTACTGACTCACATTGCAGCAGGCAAGCTGTGAGATCCAAGATCCCATTTATTAGATCAGCTGAGGGGCTGATCAACAGTAACTCTGTTCATCTCAAGGGCTGGTTCCAATGTGCACTTTGTAATGCCCAAGCAGCAAACTAAAGAGGCAAATGCTTAGAGAGTGTGAAGCTGACTCATCATCCGTGAAAGCAGAAGTCCTCTAACTTGCACATGATGTTGTGTAACATAGGAAATACAACATTATGTTTGGCATCTGTCATTGATGAGGACATTTTAAAGGGAAATAGGAAATACAACATTATGTTTGGCATCTGTCATTGATGAGGACATTTTAAAGGGAAATCATTTGAGCTGCATGGAGGCTGCTGAGCAGCACCAATTCTAGAAGGCAGACTCCAGTATCTCACTGTGCCTGGGCCTTGGCTGATAAAATACCATGAAATCTGACACGTTAAATTGAAAGTTCAGTAATTTTTAATTCTTTTGAAGATAAATTGTTCAGACATTTCTCAAACATGTCTTTAAACTGGTACTGCCTGTTCCTTTCACTGCCCACTATCAAAAGACTCGGAATTTGAAACAGCTCTAAATATTTTACCTCTTCAGATAAACAGAGAAAAAACAGAAAAAAAAAAATGCATCGGTTGAAAAACTGGTGGAACCAATTTGTAAAACGGCCTCTGAAAGCATTTCAGCCATAAGAATGATTTTGACTGTCATGAAAACTGGTGCTATCAACACATCATGTTGTAGCATCCAATCTTCATCTAACCACCCACTGGGAGCAGTAACTTTAACCAGTGCAACATACTGAACCAATTTTCATATTCCTTTATTACCCTTTTCCATAAAAAATGTTTAATCAAGAATGCTAATAAATCAGTACATCTTTAAAATTAAAACCCCTCATAATTTTTGTTGTCCCATGAGTATCTTGTTTGTACCTCCTTTACAGAGAAAAAACTTTTGATAACTTCTTAGTTCAATGCTTCTAGCACCTGTTGATATAGGCCTGTATACCCAGACCTCCTGTATGCTCTTATGACTGTCCCACTATTCTAATATATGTATGCTCAGCTCCCTCCTGTATGCTTCTTATGACTGTCCCACTATTCTAATAAAAGGCATAATCCATGTAGACATACTCTAGTTAGCGCAGCCCGACAGTCTATAGCAATGACAGGCAGAGGTAGCTGTGGGGAAGTCGAGGCAAATTAGAGAATCTGTAAGATTCTTATATTTTGTAAAACGTAAGTGTAAGAATCATTCTGATCAAAAAGAGCATAAAAATCCAACACTTAAAACCATATTCCATGACAGCAGATGACAAGATGAACTCACTTCAACTAGTATGGCCCTTGAAAAAACTTTAAATACATGGCTATTGCAAGAGAAAATCACAAAGATATATAACGTTAAATTTGGCACATGTAAGTAATTACTGCTGATAGCTACGACTGAGTTTACCTAGCATATTTTCCAGCCATCGGTGGCTTTTCCTTCTCTCAGTCCCTCCCCCTAGTACAGCTTGTGAATGATACCTGCTACTTTGGATGCTACAGCAAACTGTGTTAAGGCCTTTGCATACACTTAAAAAATCATGTCAAGGAAAGCTTGTACTGCTGAAATTTGCAATAGGCAGGATAAAAGGTGGAGAATACAGTACAATAGGTTCATATTTTAAAAATAGCAACCCTTCTCAGTAATGCCTGTTTCTCTTTATTAGATGGTTAGTACAATGGTATCTACCATTAACAGAACTTGAAAAAAGTTACATATCCTAAAAGTCCAGGGTCTCAAAGCAAGACAGAAAACACAGCAAGGGACTTTAAATAACAACAAAAGACTATTAACAGTGAAAAAATGTGCCACACAAGAGCTTTAAACCCTAAGCAGAAAACAGGGGAAAAGTGTTGAAATAATACAGTTAGAGTAAATGAACTTTTGTGCTTTCACAAAGTAGCTGAGGAATGCTGCACACTAGTGAGGCAAAAGGGATAGGCTTTGACAATTATCTTGAATGGACACTACAGATATCTTCCAAGAAGTCAGAAGGAAATGTGCCTTGATAAATGCAATGAACACTTACATTAGTGTGTTTTAAAGATGCAAGAAATGAGAAAAAAAAAACCAACTTTTGATGTTTGATTAGTACCATTTTGAATTTTTTTAGACATACAACAGGAGCAGCAAGAACATTTATGTAGAAACCCTTAAGTATTAAGTGTTCTGCATATATGTGTGTATATGACCTTGTATCCATTCTGACAAGTCTAAAATCCAGCTAGCTGAGATGGACAGGAGTAAGAAAGAAAATCTCACAGTTTATGGTTCACAGTCTGCCTGCAATGTGTCTATCAACCCAGAACCCTCCCCCTTTTTTCACAGCTGCCTCAATCGTTCTGCATTTTCTGTTGACCCCACTTTGTCCTCAGTTCTGCACTCAGAAACAAACTCAGTCACTGCGTACATTTTCTGCTTTTGAAGCAAAGGTAAGTTGGTGTAGAGTCCGTGGAAAAGTGAAACACTACTTGTTCTTGGTAGATCCTGCTGTCAGCAGCAAAGGGGAAAGCCAGTCCTTTTCTACCTTAAACCAAGAGGTATTAAGTTGCAATAGTAACTATCTGTATACCCCTATTTCCAAGGTAATGGGAAATACACTATTACACACTAATATACACCATTACTAAGGTAATGGGTCCCCTGTCTTCTAAGAATCAAAATTAAAATAATCATTACCACCTTTCCTGTCCTAGACTGCCCTAGCATTTACAATGATAAACACTGGTTCACCCTCCAATTTCTGCTACATAAAGTGAAAGAGAGAGGTGTGGGCTCTGGATGGCCAAGGAAACAGTCACTTCATATCTAGACAATGGTTTTAAAACAAAAGCTCCATAATTCATGGGGTGAGTAGCACAGACACTTATTTGCTGCACATGTACTTCCATTGTCTTGCAATAAAAAAAAAAATACAGCTAGCTATATTAAGATGCTGGCAATAATTTGAGCAGTTTGGATAATCTAAAGTAGGCAGAAGTCCTTGCCAAGTACATTTCAAACAAAATTAAACGGACACACTGAAAAAAAATGTTTTGCTTCAGAGTCTTTCCAACAACTCATCTCAGCCTTCACACAGTCAGAGAGACCTACAGTAGACAGGGACAGAAATAGCACTGCATCTGACCAGCTACTTCAGTGGGAAAAATAAGTCCATTATGAAAGTACCTTAAGTCACTGAAACAGTTTTTAGTATCCCTGCATAACCTCCTTTTCCTCTCCTTCCATTAGGTTATTTCAGAACTTAGTTTCAATTGATATTAGACATACCTTGACAGTAAAATTTATGTTCTATCCCCGTTAGGAAAATAGTTGCACTTTTAGCATAACCTTAACTGAAACTTACTTAATCAACTGCAGCATTTCTCAAATTGTGTTAAGGAAAATCAGTAGTCAGTCACTCCAAATTACTACACATAATTTAAAATAAATCCTACACACAGTCTCAAAAATGCAAACTGTCTGGTAGACATTAAGTTAAAGCAACTGGAATTAAAGCACACAATCAAAGCATCAAATCAGATTCATGTAAGCAGCTTTTTGCTATTCAGTTTATTAACATCTATCTTTAGCTATGACTTACTTTCACTGTCCTCTTTAATTCTCTTGATTGGAAATATGCCTGTGCCAGATTCTAAGCATTAGTTTATTCCCCTCAATAACCTGAAAATTTTCCCCCTACTGTTTTACTCTACCACTTACTATTTAGTCACAAATCTCTTGCATATTACATTCAGGTTGGGATTTTTAGCAGTAACTGAGACTTCTTTAGAAACAGTTCACTAAAGTTCAAACTCATTAACTGTTGCTAATTAAAATGATCTGGTTTGTTGTTACAAAAGAAAATCCTGTTACAGAAACTAATGAGCTGCAACCTTCAGCATCTGAGAGGATAAGTTTGCAAGCGTGAACACTTCATGCCAGTGCCAATCAGGTCTGATTGGGATTAACCTTTATTTACTACTACTCATAAATTTAAGTGGAATTAGAGGGAAGCAGTCAGCAAAGTATCAGTAAATCAACAGATGCAAACAGAAACAATGTTCAAAACACTTCCAACTTAACATTCACATACTGTTTAAATTTACCTAAGTAAACACAATTAGGTTTACGATTTTTAAAAAATTTGCCCATTCAGATATCTTGTCATTTTTTTTATACTAAGAAATGTTCCCCCTAGATAGGACCAGTGAGAAGCAAGAGATTACTTATTAAGATGAAAAAAGGTATTTTACCACTTCAGATAAACTGTTTATACTTAAACATACACATCTAGATAATTCCAGCACTTGTATATACATACAGGTGCTCCCTAAAGAACCAGAGTATTTTACATTGATTCAAAGTATGTAAAATAGGGAAACTGAAGTCAGTTTATTTAACTACTGACAACTTCCAAGTAGTTAGATTGTACTTTTTGTTGAAGCTGTATCTTAGAAGAAATAATGGCTGTCTAACTGCTATTAAAAACAGAGTCATATCCTATCAGGCTAAGTAAGAGTAAAAAGTGACTCCTACAGCTGAAGACATAATTTGGTCTTCTGGATCAGTCTATCACCATGGCATTAAATACCACCAGTCTGTTGTAGGAATGCCTTACCAAGAAAGTTTGGGGATTCTTTTTTTCTTTGCTTAAAATGAGAAAATAAAATATTGGCTTGATTTTTCTATATCAAAATAGAGTACAGTAGAAATCAACAGAATACTTATTTGTTATCAGGCAGAAGTAAATTCATCCCTCCCCTATTACAAGGAAGACACCAAAGAAACCTCAAATCCGTCTTTATTATGGCTTAAAAGTCTGTTATGGCTTAAAAGTCTTTTGGAAGACTTAAAACAAAACCAAACTGTGGTCCACTGAGATAATCAGCCTCTCCTTCAGGACCTTCTTTGAAAAAAGTTAGACATTATTTTCATTCTACTCTTATTAGTTCCTGAAGCCTTCATCACTACTTCACAGGATAAGAATGGGACTTGAATTGTTTTTCTCCTTTGTTTTTTGAGGAAACCAGGAGGGAATGGGATTAAGAACAAGTGTATTTGCCCAGTACACAGTATCTCCAGAATAGATGCTTGTTTCTATGGTAACTATGACAAAATGCAGGCAAATTCTAACAGAACTCAAAACATTTCTGTGGAAGTTATTGGGAAAGATTTAACTTCTTGATTACATGTTCAGAAATTTCCACTAGCTCTTAAATCTTCCTGAGATTTAAATCTCTGAAAGAACTATTTACCGCATGCAACAAAATGAGTACAACAGACAAGTTGTTTTAGAAATTATTTAATTTACAAATGCATACACTGCTTCTTAAAACAATTATGGTGCAAAATGATATCAACTCTCAGTTGGGTCCACTGATGTAAACTGTCTTTTTAGCTTCATTTACACTAAGAAGTCAATTTCTCCAGTAATGCTTCTATTCCTTTTACATTTTTATTCAGCTTCAACTTTGGGACAAGCTTTTTCAGTCCATTTTTGACGGTATTTGCCACTTTTTGATCGGCACTCCGAAGAAGGCTACAAGAAACAGTGAACAAAACAAGGATGTTGAAGGTCAGCATATGTAGGTCATAGGAAAAGAAGCTGTCCATGTAAGGAAACAATAACTACTTAGGAAAAATACAGTTCAGGGCAGATTCTATTACCTCCTATTAGAAAAAGATGTAGAACTTTCCAGAAAGCATAAAACACCAAGTGCAAACACAACCAACAGAGGACAGATCAGACTGGAAGAACTACAGATCCCTACTCAAAGCAGGTTCAAACATTAGGTCAGACCAAGCTGCTAAGAGCTTCACCCAATCCGGGCCTGAAACCTCCCAGTGCAGGAGACAGCCCAGCCTCCCAGGGCCCCAGACCCAAACTGCTGGACTGTCCTCATGGGGAAAAGGCTTCTCTTTATCTCCAGCCTGAGCTGCTCGTTTCAGCTTGCGCTGCTGCCTCTCACCCTCCAGCCATGCATGCACTGAAGAGTGCAGCTCTCCTCCATCCCCTCCTGTTGATGCCAGGGGATGATGCCGAGTACCCCCAAAACCATCCCTTCTCCCAAGTGAACCAGCCCCAGCCCCACAGCCTCTCCTCCCAGGCCAAGGGATCCAGCCCACAACTATGTTGGTCACCCTCCATTAAACTTGCTCCAGTTGTTGATACCGGTCTTGTAACAGAGGTCCTAAAAATGGAGACAATGAAGCACATCTAATACACATCAAGGACTTTCACTATTGTACTTCCATGCTTTGTTTAGTGGATGACTACAGAGCCTTACCACTTCTGCTCTGTTTCAGATACTACTTTTGGAGAACAAAAGAGCTTTCCCAGGTAACTTTTCTTCCTCAGAAACAGAAAACAAGAATCTTCTGCACTCTTCAGATTAACCTAGGCAGTGATTGTCCTTCCCACCTTCCTTCAGGTAATAGTGAAATGTTCTTGCATTGTATTACAAAATCAGTAGAGGTAATTGCACACCTAATTTGCTACTTCAAAATGAGGAGTGAACACTGCCTAAAAATTTAGTCTTCTATGGCCATTGTGAGCAATACAGAACAGAATTACAAGTTGCATGGGCATACAAACAAACTAAGATTGGAAACAAATTGTAACACCTATGTAATGGTACCCAGCAGGCTGCATGATAAAATAAGCCTTTATAATCCCTCTGGTTCTTTCAAATGTCTCCCAAATTTGCAGCTATCTAAAAGCTTGTTTCCTGCCTAATTTTAAAACAAGGATTAGACACGGCAAGCTGAACTGAGTAAAACACAAAAGTAATTAAGGTAGCTTAAGGTAGGATCTAAATTTTGTCTCCTTAGGACTCTGAATCCTGTGAAGGATGGCAATGCTATAGGCAGTAAAGCATAAGATGCCCAACTGACAAAACCGCTATTTTCATCTACTTTATTCCTAAGATTTATTTCTATGACTATGACTAGCAAATTCTGTTACACTTTTAGCTATGACAGTACTAATTCTTCAAGAGGCCTTCTTTAAAACTGAACTCAGCACAGGTGAGGGTGATACTTTTTCAGCTTTTCTGAGAGTCATGTACCACTGATAACAGCAAGAAAGTCAAGAATACTGACAAAGGATGTGCTGAACATATTCATACTTACACTGAGAGATTCACATGGTTCACCACCAGGAACAAAGAGTATACAAGGCAAAAAATCACTCTGAACTGCATTTTATATATTGCTAAAAATGAACTTCATCCATCAACAGCTATACATGTAAAACTGCTTTCAAATTCTTGGTATCCACAGATATTTCAAGACACCATATTTTTAATATAGAACAATTGTATGTCTGAGAATTCAGCCAAAACACCAACATAGGCTTTTTAAAAATTGTTATTCTGAAAGTATTCTAGGATCTGGTAAGCAGGCACCTATGTATTTTGTTGATATAAAATATAACTTTTACAGGTTATAGAAATTACATGGAAATCAGTAAGTCTTTTGGTGAAGATTGTTTTTATCCATTTTCTACCCTGATGTAACAAATCATTGACAAATTAAAAAATACTGAGAGGTCAGATGTAGAAACACAAACAGACTAACATCCATGACATTCAATTACTTACAGTATTTTTATTTACACTAAGCTAATTATAATGTCTGCAGAAAGCCTCTCATTACCTTACCTCTTCATGCTTGTATGAGGTCAGAACTAGGCCCTAGATTTTTTAATAAAAATCCAATTAAAAGCAAGTAGGGCAATGAAAGGACAGGGTTGAAAGTATAACAGGTAACTAAGCCATCAAGCACATGCTATGAACTGCTTGTAATTGGTGAATAAATTTAAAGGACTAGAAAGCTAAAAATCGTCAAATGGACTGACTGAGTAACTCTGAGTTTCATATCTGCACACAAGTGACAGATGGCTTCCAAAAGCCAGCAACAAAACAAAAATCTATTACAGCTTTAGGGAGAACTGGCAGCATCTGAAAATCACCTCCGTCTGAGGGATCTGAGCTTCTTTATAACAAAAGAACTATCTGATTTATTTTTTTTTAATAAGAAGGATTTTTAAAACTCAACAATTGTTTTATCAAAAAAAATATTGCAGTTATTGTCTATACCAGACTAAATTTATCATTGCTCTATGATTTATGTAACCTCTTCCTTTCAATGCATGCAGTTAAAACAAAGATGAGATTCATTACTATGTGTCAGCAAAGTAAACGGGTGTCACATGAAATGCAACAAAAGCAGCTGGTTATGTTAGTGTGTTCTCAGTTACCTACACAAAAGGGTGTCATGCCTAAAGAGTCATCAAGAGAAGGTCAAACTACAGAGAATTCAGATTTAATGAAAATTTTAAAAATTCCTAAAAACAAAATTCCAGCAAGCAAACACACACACACCTCCACCATATTTTTATCTGTCTTTCCTGTTATGTGGGTTTCAGTATTAGTGAAAAATGTTCATCTGCCAATCTGGAAGATAAGCTTCCCTGAACACTTGATGAAGTCCCACAATGTAGTGCCATGAGTAACAGCAGAGAAAGGGAAAGACTGACATTCCTCACAGACTATTCCATAAAATACACCTGTGCTGGTTTTTGCTAGTAGTAGTTTCCTGTTTTTTCTGTAAATCTTCAAAACCTATTAAGAGACTGTTGTCATGGCTAGAGCTGACGAGTTGTTACACATGGAAAAAATTCTACTAATTTACTTCGCAACTTTATTTGTACAATCAAAATAGCTTAGTACACAAACCAGCAACACCGCATGTCAAATGAAACTCCTCAGCCTTGAGTTAGGGGAAAGAAGTCAAAGCATTAGTACACTGTCAGTGAACAAGACTTTGTAATAAATCTCTACTGAACATCTGTGTGCAGGATCAGGTAACTTAGAGGTATCACATGCGTTTACTGAATTCTAAAGGCCTGTTATGAGAGGCAAAGAAAAAGTTTTATCATTTTAGCAGCTGAACAATCTTAAAAGCCAGATCCATATGACTATTATGATGTTGTGTAAACTGGTTTTGTATCTGGATTGCAACTACTCTTCTACTACCAATTCTTCTCATTAGTGATCTGAATGATAATGACTAAACAAAGTTAGAATTAAACTTGTATTAACTAATTGAAGTCCTATTAGTGAAAACAGCTTTTCATTCACCTTGCAAAAGAGCATGAATGTCAAAACAGTCTCACTCTAAAGTCATAGAAAGCAGAGATGGAAAGCAAAGAGCAAGTAACTTTAAGAGAGGGAGAAGTGGGGTGGAAAAAAGGTTTTAATTTTTCAAACATATTGTCTATATGAATTGTTTGTTGATTTTGGCTCAGCAGCAATGCAATGCTGACCCAGCGGTTACAGAACACAGACCACACACTTTGGGCTAAAGACAAAACTTTGGGTTCCTGTGACCTGACAGGGACAGATCGTTACAAAGTGAAAACAGTGATGATTAGCACGGCTGTTCACATTTGAGAAAACAAAATGTTAATCTTAGTCTGACTCCTGTGGGGTCTTTATCTCACTAGTTGCATGGTTCATTGCTTAGCAGTTGTGAGTCCAGTTAGCTCATCATAAGCCTCTGCATGGTCTATTTTTTTGCATTGTCTTTTCAAAACACTTTTCTGCTTCAGTATGAGACACACTTAGGCTCCATAATTAAGGTATCAACACAAAGCAGTAAGTTACAAAAAAACCCAAAATCTGGATTCTTCTATGCTATTGCCAGTTACAGGTATTTCAGAGTTTCATTTTAATGTAGATTCAATTCATTTTAATGTAGATATTTGTGGACTGCTCTTTTGAGAATATTGTTCTTGTAAAGCAAGATATGGTAGGCACAATTTTTAAAATGAATTTGATTTTTAATCTTAAGATTTTCCAAGATTGAGCTACTTTCTAGTACTTCAAAAGCTCGAGCTCAAGGAACAATCTATGGAAACTGGTTAGAATTTTTCCAGCACTCTGTGCCCTTGCAGACTTATCAGTGGCATGAAAGTCCACACACATTGTGTAAAAGGGTCATTTTGCTGGTAGAAATTTCAACTGATGTTCTCTTAGCTGTTGAAGAAATGAACACTGTAAACTCATCAGAAATAGTCACATGCCTTACATACCAACAAAGAATAATTGCACCTCGATTTACTTCTGCCCATGTCTTCATGTTCTCAATACCAACACGTTCCACCAATGTTCTTCCAAAGCAAACTGTAAAATGTTGGAAAGGGGTGGGGAAAAGAAAAAAATTAGTATCTTTATACAAAGAAGCCTGTTAAAAGTTCTCTGCAGCTGTACTTTAATCAAATAGTTTTTAGCCATCAAGTAGTCAAAAAGTTTTGCTCTCTCAATATGATTGATTATTCAATGCAATGAATACCTTTATAGAAGTTTGACTACTTCCATTGCCTGAAATTATTTAGACAGTATCAGCACTGTGTAACAGTTTACTAGTATTAAGTAGGCAAACTTGCCGTTTCTTTTTTAAAAAGGGTGTCAAAGGCTATTCATGTCTTAAAGAAGGCATCTACTCCAAAGACAGAACTTGGTAAGACTGACACCAACACAAGAGACAATTATATGCAATATACTAATACATACAGATCTCTGCTGAAAAATGTTAGTTTTTAAGCATCTGACTCTACAACTGAAGAAACAGAATTTGCACAGATTAATTTACTTAAAACTTTAGAGCTAATCCTTTATTGATGCATGAAAACCACTAGGAACCTTGCCTCTTTCAGCTGTACTGATGCTATAGGGCTCTCTTTCCTCAGTAGCTTTAAAAGCCCAAGTTGACTTGCAGATCCATTATTCTAATGACATACACAAAAGGAAGAACCTAGGCTGACCTTAAGTTCCCAGCTGAATGTGAAGAACTGAACTTCAGAAAAACTGCTCTTACAACTTGTATGCTGAGCAAACTTATCAGTAAGCAACCTAAAAAATCCCACCGAAAGCCTACAAACTCCAACCTCCAAACAAACACTGAAGCTATTTTTCACTCTCTTCAGATCAGAATTCCAGGTGAAGAACACCTTTTATTCAACATGTTCCCTACAAGATATCAATTTGGTTGGGTTTTTAATGCCAATTCCATAAATTCAGAGCAACAATTCTGAATGGCGCACTTTTCGGAGGAAAACAAAAAAAATCAAAAGGAACAACTTGTGTTTAAAATGGAAATTGCACAATGTTAGCAGAAATAAATCCAAGTAACTATCATCATCTCAGTTAGGCTAGTGTCTGAAAGACACTCTTATAAAAGTTTCCCATTGAACATTTTTAATCATCTACTTGAGTAGTGGCAAAACAGCCTCCTTTCAGAAACTTTTAATAAAGCCCAACTAACTCTTATTTTAAAAGTAAACAGTGGACACCAGAATGTAGTAAGAAGAAGAAAAGAAAGGAAAAGAAAAAAAAAAGTTTAACAAGGTCTGATAATTCTACAAAGAAAAAAGCCCCCTACACATAGAAAAGTTCCCTCCAGATTGTACTATGCTAGGCCTATCTCCTTTCATATTTTTTTTTTTAATGAGAAAAAGGTAGTATCTATTAGGATATAGTGATTTACACAACAATATTTTACAGTTATGCAATTAAAGTAAGTTTAAAATCTAAATTAACATGAGAGCATCTGTGTCCAATCTCTGCCTTCTGGGATATAAAGTAGCAAAGATATTTTTGTGCATGAATTATTGTAATAATGGTTATAAAGTACTAACCCAGCAGCACTACTGAAGACAGTAAAGATTACAGTTTGGCTCACAAGCATCAATGAAACAAGTCTTCCTGTTAGAAAGACTTTAACTTTTCTATTATTATCCTTTAAACTGCTAATTGTGTAATTTAGCAAAGCTATCAAGACATTTTAAGCACAGAAATGAACACTGTCCCCAAATCACAGTAAATCACCTGAGAAAAAACCCAAACCTGTACTTGCTTTGCAGAAAAAGCAAACACATCCTTCACATTCTGTTCATACAACGGGTCACAACAGCAAAAAGATAGAAGCAATAATCTTAGAGGGAATGTTAAATTTTCCATATATTACTATATTTAAAGAAATAAATGCAGCAATCATTTTAGGTCAGATAACTGATTACTCTGAAGTCATAATTTGATCAAACAAAGCCAAATATCCAACATACCTTCTTTTCCACTCTCTCTCATTTTTTCATCTTGCTCTATTAACCATTTCAGAACTAGATGGCCTGCTGGATGCTCTACAATGTGAAGCTTTAATGGGAAGAAAAAAAACCAAACCAAACCAAATTATTTAATGACGTTTCAAAAGGCAGTTACGTGTCTGTCCATAAATATTCCCTCCTTTATCCACTCTGCCCTCAGACACCACATCACACAGATCCATTTAGTCATCATCTATGCAAATATCAACAAGTTTGATGCAAGTATCTGAATACTTAAATTGAACAGTTTATTTCTTACCACCTTCCCTGCAATTTCTGACTTTCAGTAATATAAAAAGTACCAACCAGTGTTTCATCCATCCCTCCAACAAATTCATGCTTATGAGCAGAATCTCTTGGTCTAGCTGCCTCTATAAGAACTTCCAGACTTTCCACATTTTCAGACTTGAAAATTCACTACAGTATGGTTCACAGAAAATGGCCAAAAAAATGAGTAGTTAATGTAAAATTCTGTAAAATGCTTTTCTTCAAGAAGGGGAAAGAAGGCAAATTCAGCACAACTATGGAGATCTGGAGGGCATCCATCTTAAATACAGTTTCTATGGATACATGTGACTGAGTTTAACTCAACAAAATAAGGGAGGGGCACACGCTGAAGAGAATGTCATACTGTAAAGACAAGCAGTTATTATCTAAGATCTTTACTTGCATGGAGATATGCATACCTGAAAGTTAAGAGACCCTATCATTCTCAGTGTAAACAGTCAAAGGAACTATAAAAATTTACTAACTGCTTGATTGCATAGTGCTAACATTAAAAGAGGGACTGTCTAACATGATTGTCACCTATCTTCCCACAAAGTGTTTAAAGCAGTTCTGAAGATTAAAGATCATGAAGTATTTTGCTCTACAACTCAGATGAAATGCTGGCTCAAACCTTCATCACTCCAGCTGCAATAGTAATAAAATACTAAAGGAAAGTGTCAGAGACCAGAGATCATGTCTAATGTCCAAGTGCTACTAGGGAAGTACAATGATGTCTTACATAAAAGTGGGGAGACTTCCTTTTAGTAATACAAAATAAGCAAAAACGCTCTGCAAGATCTCAGCACTTTGTCCTCTGTTACATTACCTGCCCATCACGGCCACCTGGAACCAGCTCTTCTGCCGCTAAGTTGGCAATTGCATCTAGTGCAGGCTGGATGTCACCAAGAGCTGTTCTTAAGATGTCAGCAACCAAGACAAAAGTAGCTTTGTCTATCACTACTTCTTGGGTATGTTCTTGCAAATATTCTAGCAAAGGTGAGGAAATGGCTTCCAGAAGTTCACGGCGTCGCACTTCAGTATTCTTCTTACTGATGAAAGAGACAACACATTACTGTAGAAGACTTAAACTGTATGCACATCATGCAACAAAAATTTCAGAACATGTATGCTATTTGAGACAGCTATAAATTATTGGAAGGTCAAAAATAAAGCATTATTCTTTCCTCTGTTTCACATACAATTAAGCACATGCTGCACACACATTTTAAGAACATAGCGAGGAAGTTTATAGTGTTCAAATCTTACTGCCAGTAAACCTCACAGTTTTTTGTTAACAATAATGTAACCTGTTTATTTTCTATTCATTTTATTATCTCAAGTACTGACATGTATTTTAAACAACTCACTAATCATCTAAAATTGCTCCTTCTTCAAAAGCTGATAAGCAATGTCAATACCAAAGACTGAATTCAAATTATCAATTTCCATTTTTATTGTTAGATTTTGAGATATAATTTTATGCAATTCAAAACACTATTAATGCATATTAAAATTTTTCTGCTACATAAAATGTGAGACGAGTTTAAACAAAGAACATATCACAATTTTTGCCCTTTACAATGCTGGTTAACTGCTGATCACCAATACACTGCTGCTCATCAATCATCATTTAACTTTAAACAAAAAATGCAAAAATAAGGACTACAGATTAACATATTGAATAATAATTATGTATTATTTATATACATTGTGATGGTTTGACTCTGGCTAAATGCCAGGTATCCACCAAGTCGCTCTATCACTTCTCCCACCTCCTTTCCCCTTGTTTTCTCAACAGGTCAAAGAAGATAAACTAACCCTTGTGGGTGAAACAAAAGCAGTTTTAATATAAGCAAAGCAAAGCAAAGGTCCGCGCACGGAAGCAAAAGCAGAGTTATTCTCTACTTCCCATGGACAGGCGATGTCGGGCCTTCTCAGGAAGCAGGGCTCCAATACGCGTAGTGGTTGCCTCGGAGGACCAAGGGTGACCCCACCCCCTTCTTCCTTTCTCCCAGATTTATACTGAGCAAACGTCATATGGTATGGAATATCCCTTTGGTCGGTTTGGGTCAGCTGTCCTGGCTCTGTCCCCTCCCAAGATCTTGCCCACCCCGTCCCACTGGAGGAAATGTCAGAAAGAGGCTTGGTGCTGTGTAAGCACTGCTCAGCAGTAGCCACAACACCAGGGTGCTATCAACACCCTGCCAGCTCCAACATAAAACACAGCACCGTGAGGGCTGCTATAGGGGAAAACCAATTCCAGTTCAGCCAGACCCAGTACATATATTTACACTACTTAGATATATTATGACAGAAAGTTGAAATTTAATCGATTATGACAGAAAGTTGTATGAACTCTTCTGGACTCTAGGGAAAATAATCTTCATATCTGAGTTACCTATAGGCATTTCCATCTCCCTGTTGCAGAAGTGTGATGATTTCCGGAACAAAATGTGCAGGGTCTCTAGGACTCAGCAAGTACAACAAGACCTTCTTTCCATATTTGTTGTTTATTATATCTGGTAAAGAAGCATTTATTTCCTGTAAAAGTAAAGAAACAGCAACAAAACATTCACAAAATAATTGTTTTGAGGCATTAGTAATTACTGATTACTTTTCAAATGCAAAACTCAGGAAAGGAAAACTGCATACAGCAATGACAGTCCATGTGAAGGAAAAGTCCATCATAAACTGATTACAGAACATTCACTAAGAAAAATTAAATTTCAGTAATAGAAAACCTAAAACCACATTCTGTCTTTTCAGCATGTGCATTCAGATTCAGATGAAATTCATTTATCAATTAAATGGATGACAAAGGTGCTGAAATATTTCAAAACTTAAAACAGGTAAAGAAAATAGTTTAGGAGAGACAAACACAAAAATCATTTGCACTTCAAAATCAACCTCTAATATAGCCATTTTGTATACAAGATAATAAACTTTTGGAGGTATTAAAGAAAAATGTGTTTATTTCCCCCACCAATTCCAATGAATTACAGAATTTGGTCACTTTCAGTGACAGAACTGTGAGAAACGACTAGGAGAAACTCAAAACAACAGAGGCATGCTGTCTCTCGTTGGTAATGTCTCCCTAGCACTGTCTGCTTGGAATCCTCATGAAAGAGATGAATTTCCTGCTAAAATCTGCCTGGATCTTGACACATGCCAAGCTTACAATGTACAGTTCCAATTGCATATGAAGGTTTAAAACAGCACACATATTCTTTGGTCCTAAATTAAGACTCCATGGAGCTGAGACATGATGAGAAGGGGAGATTTTTCTCAAAGGATTTAGAGTTTAAAACAAATTCCAAGCCATTCTGCCAAAAGTGATGTTTTATACTACTACTACAAAAAAAAAAAAAAAGACTTGCTTTATAATTTTCCTGACATTCCTCAAGCTAAATTTTAGTATGGACAGAATGATAATTGGTATAAGGTGTTTTAGAAGTCTAACTACTCTTTAAGATCATTTTAAGGGTTGGATTCTTCTATTAGAATATGCTTCAATGCTTGATTTCTAGATGCTTCCACATCATCCTCTGTTACTAGTTTTCATTTACCCTCTGAAGAGCTGGTTTAGATCTTATTTGATTTTTTTCCCTTTTCTCTGACATCTTTTTCCCTTTCTGACTTCATATAAACTCAGATGGGCCAATTCTGTATGTGTAAAGGCCAGTCCTTGTTATTTTCCTTTACACTTCCATCCAGACTGATGTGATAGGATGACTAAACAGTAAACACTCCATTATCTTTGATCTCAGGTGTTGGAAAAACATGATGATTCATGAGTTAGACGACACATTGGAAGCTCAGCTAAAGCCAAACACAGTATTTGAACTAAGAAATCCTCCAGAAAGCACAGTGCTTGTAACATACTACAGGAATGCCTCAATGATCTCATGTCAAGTCAGCTCTGATCTGTCAGGGCTTATTTGCTTGGAACTTGCCCAGAAGTTGTTACATTGCAGACTGGACTGTGGAAACAAAATCCAGTTGTGATTACAGCTAATATACCTGAGAAACAAAAGCCATCTCCAAGCTGGGATGCTTTCATCTCTCTACACCCATCAGAGAGGCACAGACTTAGGGCCAAACTCCATGCTATGGTACAGAAAGCCAATTCCCTCCTGTACAAAGTTGCTCAATCAAAGAACTGCTTATATTTTTTAAAGCAACCCTCATCAGAACCACTTTCCCCTCATATTCCTTCTCCACATGCAGAGTATTTGCCTCATCTTTACCTCCCTGCCACTGCCTCTCTACCTGTCAGTCTTTAGAGCTGAGCTCTGCTATAAGCACATTACAACCTGCACGTTTAATAATCCTGCCTGCATGAAATCTAGTTGTGCACTATGAGTTTTCTTTTGTCAGTGTGAAAACATAACTTCATGGTAACTTATGGATTAAAACATCTTAAAAGTGGTAAAATCTGCATGTAAACATAATCTTAAGTATAAATACTTCATGAAACCCTATTAAGTCATTTCTGGAAGAAAGGTGGGGAAACGAAGATTCCAAGAGGAAGCAGATGCAGATTGGATCATACTATCCTTACTGTTCATTCTGCAATTCTGTGTAGGTGAAGCAGAACACTTAGAGTGCTCTCATGTTTCAGATATGTCTGTATCCATTTTGGAAGCAAGATAAAAATATTATATGGATTTTATCCAGAATGTTAGTTGTCACTTAACTATCAACGTGTTAATTAAAATGTCAAATTTTGATAATTAATGTGAATTAATTATTTCAGCATCCAGCCAAAAGTACGCAAGTACTTTTTCTTTTTTGAAGTCATGGCATACTATATTCAGGCCTGTTGCTATGTTCCTGAAAGTTTACTACAGTTTCTCTTGAAGTATGACTTTCCAAAATACTACTTCTGCTAAAGAAAAGAGCTAAATGTGCTGAACAACCTTTTTTTACAAGTTTTCACAATAAGGACATTCTAGGCACAGACATTCTTGACATTTTGGGCTTGCCTGTAAAATAGATAAGGTAACATACTCATTCTAAAGTTTTCCACCAATTTAATCTCCTGAAATACTGTACTAACTTTAAAGAGATTCTAGTCATCCATTAGCCAGAATGAACATGTAATTTTCAGCAAGCACTGAATCCAGCTTAAAAACAAATTCAAATACATAATAAATAACTAAAGAGAACATATGAAAGTACTGAGGTCTTCTGTGAAAAGAAAAAAGTAATCATGACACATAACAAAACAGAAAGGGTGGAAAGAAATTAAGTGGTTTGAAAAAAGCAGATGGGTTCCTACTCTCATTCCCTTATACACTGACAAACACACCGACATAATCTAGCATACTATATTAGGAAAAATCCTATTACTTACTGATATTATCAACTGTTTCACAAGTTTAGTGTCATCGATGCAATCAAATGCTGCCAGCAAGACCAGATGAGAAAATTCACCCTGTAAAGATGAGACATCCTAAATCACATGCAGTCAAGTTCTATGAATATACTAGTTGACTTAGAATCAACATTTCTGAGTTTGTCTCAAACATGATACAAATGAACCACAAGTAAATTCTCCCACTGTCACAGAATGAGAGAAGCCCAACATTTAGGCTCTCTCTGAAAGCAAGGCTTGTTAAAAGAAATAGGTTGTTAAAACAAAGAATAAATTGATCAGCCATTACAAGTTGATACATGGCTTTATCACTTCCAAGCTATTAACCTAATCCTATTTTTTAATCATCATTTGAAATCATAGTGTTTGCCTTGCAGGAACATTATATACAGACTTTATTTCTATGGTGGATCTGCTTAAAGCTGAGATAAATTACAAACTGTATTTTCAGAGATCACATCTCTGCAATGAGCCATACAGTCTATACTGCACTGCTAGAGAGCAAGTCTTCAGCATACTCAAAAGGGCACAACCCAATTCACTTGTATGTCAGCAAGACTCTATGTTAAAGTGAAGCCAGACCTTCAGTCCTCCAGTGTTGTTTTAGCTATTATTTACATACTGTCTCACATTTATATATAATATGTATTTTATAAAATATACAACTCATTCCGGTACTAGAAAATTATGGAGAGAAACATAATACATAACAGTGGCCTCCAAGGTGGGATTCACAAGACAATCCATTGTGGTGTATGAAGAAAATTTTTTTTGTACAAATAATAAATATGTAATTACTAGTTACCTTCATCTCATCCTTTTTCAACTTCTATTTATGTGTATGTTTTATAGCATATATTAGCACAGTTGTACATGTACATAATTTGTATATAAATGTTGGAGAATGGCTTGCAGAGAGCAAGGCCATAGGTCTCTGCAGGAGCTGATTGCAGCCTGGAGAGGTAAACAAAGGAAAAAACCCAGGGTACAGTTATGCTAACAAAGGACTGTTATGTTAACAACGAGAGAAACTGAGGTACATTATGGCCTTGTGTATGATAAAGGAATGGCCTTGGGAAAGAAAGCAGGTCAGAGGAGGGAAGGTGTTGTGACATGCCTGAGATGCCACAAGGGGCTGGGATATTATAATGTAGCCTTTTACATGTATCCAATAGATTTGTGAGTAGTATGCATGTAGAGTGCTTATATAAAGTGTAATTTCTTTCAATAAAGATGAATATTGCTCTATCATTCACATTGAATCGGCTGCTTGATTCCTCTACCTCGCAGGGCCGTTCCATAATGTACCTCAGTTTCTCTCTTTGTTAACATAACAGTCCTTTGTTAGCATAAATGTACCCTGTTTTTTTTCCTTTGTTTACCTCCGTTGGCTGCAATCAGCTTCTGCAGAGACCCATGGCCTTGCTCTCTGCAAGCCGTTCTCCAACACATACATATATATATATATATATATATATATATATTAGAGATGCACACTTAGGGTTGTGTGATCGAAAACTTTTAGAGACCACTGACTGAGACTACTCAATTATTAGTAAACAGAACAATACAGCAACAAGGAAGGGAAGAAGCTTAAAAAGTTCTTCTTCACAGTTGCAGTTTTGTCCAGCACTATGAAATCTGGTTGCAAATTCTATTGGTGCTGCAGTCTCCAAACATATACGTTACTTGAAAAAACATTTAAATACAGACTTTTTACATTGTATGTCAACTTCAGCATTAATTTCTCTTGAAGCCTCCTGACTTAAAAATTATTGAGCATCTTCTAAGAAATATGAACATTCAAATGGTCTTTCCAATGACATCCTCAACACATGTTAATTTTTGTTCCTCTTCTGTATACATCTTATTTTACTCCCAACCAAGAAGAATTAACCAATAAGCCATATGAAGATGTAATATAAAGTCGGGCTCAAAAAAAAATAATTGTAGACATAAAAGTTAGAACTTATAATTAACTCAGCTACTTTAAAGGAGGATAGTACTACATGTAGTGCCTACAATGAAGCTCCTCAGTATACCTCTATGATATTCCATAAAGTTCAATACATTTTGTATTATCTAATGCATCACCACTATTGTAAACCTTGTTTCATTAAAATCTCATAGTTGTTTCCTGTACCAAAGCACATTCAAATTAGCCACTGTCAAATCACTCGTGTTTCAGAAACTATGAAATAAATGGTTACTGAACACTCACCATTGCTGTTTTTTCAATATATGTCTTCATAGTTTTCACAATGACTTTTCTGTCCTATCCAAAAAGAAACAAGAAACTTGAATGAGCCTATAATGCAAATGATTCTTAGTGACTAAATTATTATACCTTAAAAACTATAACCTTCAATTTGCTTACTAAAGCAAAGTCTATTTACGAATGTCTCACATTTGTACTATTAGTCAACCCCTAGAAACAGTGTGAAGAATTAAACCTGAACTCTGAAAGAATCCCAGGGAGGTTCTGTGATATGTCTTCAACTCCAGCCCACCAACAGAAGATGCCAAAAAGGGCAACTTGAAAAAAAACCAACAAACCACCACACATCTTCACCTATATCTTGTTTATTACTTACAGAAGAATGTTCTCCATTTGGAAAAAAACGTATTCAACAGGACTTGAAACTTTAAAATAGCAAGGACTCTAGTCTGCTGCAAACCTCCTTTACTAGCAGGAATTTTTGGCAGGTTTCCTCAGTGCTTGCACTTTTGCCTCTTGCAATCACTGCTCAGTCTTCTTTAGACCCATTACTACGCCTAGATCCCAGCAACTTCCTATTTTTTCTGCACTCTTTATCAAGCAGATTATTTTTTGAAGTCATCCTTTTTTAATACAGAACAAGATAGGAGGCATTACAATATTTCTGAGAGGTTGTGGCACATGTTACTTGAAGTATTTCAGGATAATGTATCAGCAGAAGAAACTAAAACACAGTTCCTATAACGTTTTCTGTGTCTTGGTATTCCAAAGCCAAACATCATTCCACATTATGACTTTTTTACTATCCTCTCCCTACTGCCAATTTCACCTTCATTAAGATATCAAGGGGATGAATGAATGGCCAATAATCTTAAAATATAAGACCTTTATGTGTCATCTCCAAGAACTCTGCTAAAAAATAAAAGGAGATGCTTTCACTATAAAAGTTATAGTAAAAGTATTTGATCCATGAAAAACTACTGCTTCTATTTGCCAACAGGTAAAGTGGGACCTTTTTAACCTTGTTCTCAAGTAATTAACTGCATCAAAAGGTGCACTGGAAGGACCCATGTGAGCAATCATACTCACAGTCTCAGACCAGACCATTAAAGTTGACTGGGTAGACAGAAACGAACAATACCTTCGGAGTACCATGCCATAAACAGTGCATTGCTACTCGGGCTCCATCATGAGTGTGAGCCAGGTAGATAACAGCCTCTCTGATAGCTTCTATCATTTCCTGGGGGAGAAAAGGTGATAAAGCAAAAAGGTGAAAGGCCAGAAGTATTTCAAGGTGGGTGGGCAAGGGCATTAAAGGATTTTTTGTCTGCCCGCAACACTATAGAGAGCATCACCGGCTCTACAGAACCCCTCTCATTACCCTGACCTATGAAAAAAGGCCTCAAAAGACTCCTAAAGACTGTAAATTACATAAGCTTTCTCCCTTCAAAACTACGTTGTTCATCACAATTATCCTATGAAAACAGAACTGTACTGAAGTTGTCTGATTACAGGAAATTCAGGGAATGGTACTCAGAATGGAGACAAGCATTAGAGGAGACAAGGACAACCATTCGCTTAGGAAGAAAAATCTTTGAAGGTGATGCAATTTATTTATACATAGACGATATTAGCCAGAAAGCAAGAACTACAAGGTCATTTAAGCACCAGGTGATGTTATAAATCATGTATGAGAACACTCAGCCAAAAGTTAGTCTTCATATGAAAAGAATGAGGTTCTGAAGCCATCTGATAAATAATACCATCAGCCAAAAAATAAAATAAAACCAAACCAAAAAACCTCCTCCCATGTTATTAGATACCACTTCTATAATCACTAGCTATATGCACAGGCAGGAACAGATCTACAACTGCAGTTTCCAAACCCTGAAGAGTATATCCATATGCTACTATGTCTGTACAAAAGCCAGTCAAGGAGGAAAATTAGAATAAATATTTTTAACCATCCTTGTTGGGCTAGTGGGGGGAGAGAAAGGAGAAGAGTTGGATATGGGGGTGGGGGGGAAAGCAAACCTTTATTCCCCCAATTCACACAAGACTCTGAATCTACAAGCACTCTCTGACAAAGCATTACATGAAATCATGCACAGAAACATTTAATTAATTAAGATCTGGACTCAGAATAGGCCACAAATAGCCTACCCTTAGTGCTGGGTTTCTTAACAGTAACAAAGAAAAGAGTTCAGGAATTCAGTCCAGAAGAAGTAGTTAAGACACAGCAAGTCTAGAAGGATCCACTTGGCATGGAGCAAGACGGTGCTGAACTGCAGAACCCAGGTGAGACTGATGGACAAAGCGTGAAAACAGGTAAAGCCAACCAGGACACCAGCTTATGCAATGTCACATCACACAGATGGATGTACGCGTAGTTTTTGCAAGAATGGCTGAGGTATGCTTAAAACTGGAATTTAATACACACACAGTGTAAAAGCCAGATGCTTGGTCAGGAGGAGGCAGAAGACAAAGATTTGGCTGGTGACAGAAGTGCCCAATCTGATTGTATTTTGGTCAGTAATTTTTTTGGACAATGGCTACAAGTGGTTAAGAAACTACACACTGGAAAATGAAACTACTGGAAGCTTTAACTATTCGACAACTATTAAGAAGGACCATTTAGCAAGGAGAGACAAAATATCAGTCATACCATTAGATTTTTTTTTTTAAATTCAAATATCACACACTACTGCTCTAATGTGAAAGTTCACTATTACTGTAAATCTCCATATAACACTACTTCCCAATCATCAATCTGGAATCGCCAAATGTGTAAAACTTTATAAATGTAAGATGTGTATTTGTGTCGTTACCTTACAACACTTTTATGACAAGATTAAAAACTTTCCCACTGAAAGGAAAAAAGACAAAAACCAAACAAAACATACTTACGGATCTTTGTTTTGGAAGAGAGTAAGTGAAAAAGTCCAAAAATACTTTATGTACCAGTGAGTGCTTTATCACAGCCTCTCTGTATTTGGGAAGAGGAAAATAAGAAAAAGTCCCCCACAAGTAATGGTAAACTAGCAATATTTCATTTGTATTCAAAAAAGTTAGGCAGTGTGATGTGCAGAAAACATGTAAATCATTCTGGATTAGATGTTTAGCATTTACAGTAAGTGGAAGATTCTACCAAAACTCACAAGTTCTAAAACCTAGTAAAATATTTTCTCCTAAAGACCACTGGAGAAGCTTATCCAATAATGCATTCTGGAAGCACACCACACTGTGGGATTTCTAACAATTGTTTGACTGGGTCAGGAACAATTTTAATTTATCAAAGTGGAATTCAACATTAAGAGAAGATATTAATTATGACACTTTGGACAAAACCAGTTACTTAGTATAGAACACAGCAATATTATAGCTTAAAGGAGTATCAATATCACTGTCTGGTTGTATTTCAGAAAGAAACTGGTTCACACTGTACTGTCACACCTTAAAACAATTTTTGTCCTTACTTTTGTGCCATCGGTGTAAGAATCTGCTTCATTTCATCCAAGATGGCCTCTCTCTTTTCAGGCTGAGCTTCTAACACTTTATCCAGTGTTGGGGAAATGGGTGTCTGAAATGAATGCACAGAGGTTCAATTGCAAGTATAAGAGTTCACAGAAAATCACAATCTTTATTCACTTTTCAATCAAAATTCACGAATAATTTCACAAAAAAATTTAATTTTCTGCAAAACTAACGGTTTTTACAATTTTAAAAATAAAAAGTTTATCTGAGTATGTCAGAAGCTGTATCCTTAAGTTTCTACAAACTGAATATTCATCATTAGCTAACAAAAGCTACTTTTGTGGTCGAACTATTACGGTTGGAACAATTTTTTGCCAATTATGATCAGTTCTTCATGAAACTGTCAGATACAAGGTAAAATACAAAAAAATGACATTGTCTTAAGAGACTGCTGAGCTAAGAAGGGACTTCTGAGCTAAGCAAAAAGCTTGCATGACAGTATGCTTATGCTAGGGGGCAGCACAGCAATGTCAATTAACTGAGAAGTTAACCAAGGCCCAGGAAATTCCAGTTCAAGAACAGCAGAGAGGAAGAATGTATACCATGTAACCTAAATACAGAAGTACTTCCTGGTATCTCATCTAAACAAGGACACTGGAAACTCTTGTAAAAGAATATGCTGTCAGAAGAACAGTCTGACTAGATCGAAATTTAGAAGAAACGTATTTTTAACCATCCTTGTTGGGCTGGTGCGGAGAGAGGAAAAGTAGAGAGTTGGAGGTGGGGGAGGAAAAGCAAACCACTCATTTCAAAACTCCAAGAAATAACAGGTCTTGTTAGGGATTACATCATAGTTTCTTACAAACTCACATGCTGAGTCTCAGGTTTGCATTGCAATGGAAGACTACTTGAGGCACTCATGAAAACAATACTAGAATGATGGATGCTAACTCTGCACTAGATATCAGAGGCTGTTTTACTCCCAGTACAAATCACAGCCCACAAAAACCGGCAAACATACCTTTCTATTGCGTTGCAAAATGCTTTACTAAAATTTATACTAATCTGTAAAGATAAAATAGCAATATGGTTCAGAAACGAGCTGTTAATTTCTTATACAACTTTAACAGAAAACTTGGGTTTTGTTTCATAAAACAGTTTTGTACTTTGTAGTAAATAAAACTATCTGTGCCTCAAAGGAAACCAGCATTCTGAGTTAGCAAGAAAGAAAAAATGAAAGGAGGTTGTGCTTTTTTAAAAAGTTCTCAGTGCCTGGTGAGGATCTACGTCTAAATGGTTTCAAAAGAGACTCAAGTCCTATAGTCTCCATGAGAAAAGAAAACAAAGCCAGAAATTAAGCCGAAATGACACCCTGTATATAGATACAGATATGTTCTGCTCACACTCAGTTCTCACAGACATAAGGCAGTTCCAACACACAAAAGCCATCTACAGCATTAATGGGGAATTAAACCTAAATCTTATCTCAGCAAGGATAAGAGCTTCAGGCTAGACACTATGGCACTATGATAACTGCAACTATATGATATGAGACAGTCTTTGATGAGCGGAGCAAGCTCATACATGAAAATAACATTTCACGTAGTCCAAACTGAAGAAACACAGCAATTTAACCTAGAAATGTGCAAGTAAACATAACATTTAAACAGGCTAAACTAGACTACATTTGGACATCTGACAGAAAAAAATCTAATCAAAAGAAATAGTAGGTAAGATAGATAAGGTGTTACTAACACAATTCTTTAGATGCTAAACCACCTTAAACTAGGAAGTATTGAAACGTTACCTTGTAAACCTGGAAAGTGTTCCCATACAGTTCTTCTGTCAGCATATTTCTCTGCTCCAGAATGGCTTTGTCATTATATGCATATTCCACTACAGCTGATGCTTCGGCATGACGGAGCATTTTTTTCACATTGCCTTTAAAACTTTTTATTATTTCTGCAACTTGTGTTTTTGTCCTGTTTCACAGGGAAAGATAAATAGCAAGAGTTAAAGCTTTAGGGATAAACTGACCTAAAAATAGTTTTATTTTCGGAAGCACATTTAGGCGTTAAGTTTTAGCACAGAAACCAGGAAATATATACATTTGTATCAGCCTCATGTCATTTATGGAAATATGGCGAGAATAACAGGAATTTGGAGAAATCATGAGGCATTTTGAGGGAAAGAAATCAGTGGATAAATTCTACAGAATAACTGACGCCTTCCTGAAACACTAAGCAGAGAAAATTTTTAAAAGCCAGTTTTCTGTATAAAGCAAAGATCAACTCTGAGCATATATTTGAGCTTTTTTGGGTGTACGTTCTCCTCAATGCATACAGCTTTAGCTTTACTTTTTGCAAAAGGAAAACTGCTGTTAGCAATACCAAACATCTCTGTTTCCAGAGACACATTTTTCATTTATAATCAATGCACTACAGATTAAGAGCAACATTCACACTGGAAATGAAACAATGCAACACAGCTAAAAAAATTCACTTCAAACTCACCCATACATAAGAAATTTCTTCACAATATTTCTGGAATATTTTGACTTGCTCAACTCTACTAGGCTATCTAGAAGGGAAAAAGATCCAGCCAGTTTGATTTTTCACTCCATTAACTCTATAAAACAAGATGCTATTATTTAAATGTTAAAAGCTCACTAGAAATAATGCATTAGTTCAGCAGAAAGTTAAAAATATTCAAGAGGTAACAATATAGCTTGTTTTAATGCATCCTAACAACAATACAGAAATACATAGTTGAAATGTAAATGGGAAGAAAATACCTTTCAGTTCTTCAAATGTCTCCTGTCTTTGCTTCTCACTGCCATACTGAATAAAGCACTGGATCACTCGAGTTGAATCATGTGCAAATGCCAGCTACAGGACAGACATATTTCATTATTCTAGACTATTCAAACAGCATTATGCACCAAATTTATTTTAATGCACTTGCCCTCTGATTTATGCCACGTGCAGCATGTAATGCCAACTATAAAAGTAGTTACCTCTTTATAACAAATTAAGTTTTAACGTTTTTTACTGCTCTGTAAGTACTTCATTAAAAAAATATAGATAATATTTGCAGTTGCTGACAATTAAGACCGTGCATATGGGTTTTAATACTGGAAGAGAATTACTAAATGGTATCTCATTTTCTCTCATATTCTTTGTAATTTCAGAGTGAGAGCACTTTGGCATGGAATACCAAGAATCACTTTAAAATGCAACATGTATTTCACTGTAAATTTATGCATTTCACTGTAAATTTATATATTTCAAGAATTAAGCGGAGAATGTTTAGTACCGTTAAGTATGAGGACATTATCAGGACTCTTCTAAAAGAATGTGGCAAAGCAACAATTGTAATTAATCAAAATGCTGAGTGGCTGGTTTTGAACTTCAGGTAACACAGAATTTCACTGGACTCAAGCTGCTTGGCAAAACAGACACCCTTAAAATAACCAGCTGATAAACAAAGCTCTCTGCCCTGAAATCTAGGTAGCAAATACAGTCTTTCAACCCTGTTTCTGTTTTTTTTACTCACAGTTTAAAAAATTCCCTGTAGCATTTGGAAGAACAGGTTAATAGTATATTATTAAAAGTTCATTTATATTTCACCACTCCATAAAGAAGCTTTTGTGAATTTGTGAACTATGGCATTAGTTTTTCTTACACTTTTAATTTTTCCATGAAGAAGCTTCTGTAGTTCATTCATTAGTTTTTCTCGTTTCTCTTTATCGCATTTTTTCCTACAAGTGAAAAACAGTAAAACAATATTAACAGTGGAAGCAGCCTTTTTGTAGTATAAATCATTTATCTCTATAAATTAAGAAGCAAGACACTATAAAATAAAGTTAGCTCATGCTAACACAAATTTGCATTGTCATTCATTAAAACTGTACAGATTAAATTAAGCAGTTTCAATTCCTAGAAACCAAACCAGATTTCCACACTCAAAAATAATTTTTTTCTGAGTAACAATTATTAATAAAAATAACATAAACTAAAATCTGTAGCCAATTGCTTACAGATCCAAGGATCAGGAAGCATCTTATAGCCAAAATTGCAAAGCACGGACACTTAGAGCAAGTAAAATTAACTCCTTCTGACGTGGGGCCCCAGACCTTGAATTATTCCTATCCAGAGAGCGCATATAAGCCTCTACAAAAAAGTCATGTAGTGATCCCACTGCAAGATCAGGCCAAATCAGTACATGCTCTGTGCTTCATGATTCAAAAAAAGAAGACAACTCCTTAAGCATTTATTCATAAATTTTAGCCTAAAATACAAGTAAACTCAATCCAGACATTTCCATCATCATGGGTCACCACACTGTCTGAACCATCTACAGAACTGCCTGTAACATTATCAATCACTCATGAAGTTTCACTGTGGAAATATAGTTTCCTATATTTACAGGAGGAGAAAGAAGGTCTTCTTGCAACTTATGACTGAAAGTCAAATGAATGAAAGAAAAAAAACCCTATTATTACCTTCTCATACTTTCCCATATTTGCTTTGATTTTACAATTATGTCATAATTACTTTTATCATTAAGTTGTCTGGTTTGCTTTAACTCCTTCCTTTTCTTTTTGAAGTCATTCCACTTTGGCTTCTTAGACTCTGACCCTGAAGACAAAAGTAAATACATTTTCTATAGTCAATAAAAGAGGAGCAATGGAATACTTCATCAGTATAAACTGTGGCAGCTCTGTGACTTGTGAAAATTACTATTTTAGCATTAAAATCACATCTAGAATACTGGAAGAACAAGGCAAAACCTGATTTCTTCCTCAAAGCTCTGTCAAAGGATGCTTTACAAACTTTATAATAGCTTGACAAATTTTTTAAAATGCACCTAGCAGCCTATGACTGCCTCAGACCCCCCCCCCGAAGAACACCACTAACTCACATCAGATAAATGAAAAATTAAAGCCTTTTAACATGCTTAATCTTTTTATTCAGTCAAATTCCTTAAGCACGGGACAACAACTATACACTGCCACACAACATACTCAGTTAGGTAACTTTATAGAAACAGCCACAAGTGAGTTATGGAAAAACTTCAAGTATATGATTTTAGTTATTCACACACTGACAAAGATCATCATCTCGTATCACTTGGTTTCACAGAAGCAAGTCATGCTATTACTGCCAGATGAAACATTAAGACCCAGCTTTAAATTTGAAGACCTTAAAGCACCACTTGTTGGTATTTAGCAGCATGCGCTTAACTGTCTTACCCATGTAAAAAACATGTTCTCTTTTCACAAAGCATATTATCAACTTTTTGTATCATTCTGCTAAAGTAATAGTGACAAGCAAAAACAGTAACACTTCGCTTTGAGAGCAGTGCCACTGTGCAATACACAACAGATTTCAATTATTCTTAAAAACAATTTTTAAAGGTTTGTTTATGGTTATGGTTTGTTTTTTTTAAAGCAACTTAATATGAACATTCTGTTGCTATTAGTTTCCACACATCTAGTGCATATTCCACGCAAAGCCATTCTCCAAACATGCAACAACAGCAACGATAAATTGCTCAACATCTTCTACTGTCCCTCAAACAACTAACATTTTTCTGCAGAACTTCAGAATCCCTCACATAAAATTCCACTTCTTATTTTACAGTTGTTTAATTGTCCCAGTAGAGTTTTGCTTCATAGCAAAGGAAGAAACAACATGAAGTTCTCATGTACCAGAAACAAAGATAAAAAAGAAATCCGTCTGAACAGTGATAAAACCATACATTCATTTAGCTTCTCTGTATAAACGTAAGCTGCAAAGTGTAAAAAGCAGTGATAACACCAATGCTGTCTTTTTGTTTTTTAAAAGAGGTGATAAGATAGATTGGACCACAGAAAAAAAATAATATAAGGGATAATCAAATTTGTTTCATGAATTTTTGTGTTCCAAGTTCTATAGTCAATACCTTTAGAACAGAGAATTAAATTTCTAAAATGGTCTGCGAAAAAATCTGTTTTCCAAATTTGTGTGAAAACAGCCAGTTTCAAGCTATCCACATAATATTGTTATTAAAATAATCACAGCTTTATGACAGCACACTAATTATTTAAATTTGCTACTGCATCTTTATTTTTGACTTCCAAGAAAATTCCTAACAGTTGATTCTCATGACTTTGGTCTCAAACTTAGTCAGGTGAAGTAATTGTTTCCACAGCAACAGTTAAACATGAAGTAAACTTGGGGAAAGAAGACCTAGGTGAACAAAGAAACTGTTTCCCAAAACCTAGTTTCCATTGATATCCAGCCTTAAAAATCTGCTCACCTCCCTCTTCACCATCCTGGAGCTTCCTCTTGTTTGCAAGCTTTCCTGACTGTTGTTTATTCTTCCATTGTTTGACATTAGCACTTCCATGTCTTAACTGTCCTTTCACAAATTTCCTGGAAACGGATTTAGGCTCTCCCTCCTCATCTCCTTTGTTAGTAAGTTTCTTTGGTGGACCTGAATGTATTAAGCAACAAAACAGAAACTAAAATGTTATCCTAGTTGCTTCAAATATATTTACACTGTAACAAGAATTGAACTACTTTGTAGTAACAATTATATAAATAATAGTAATTCTTACATGCTTTTCAAAGCTGGTGTTTTCACTTCAGTCCCTGGGTGTCCCAGTCTTCCCTATGGAAGTTCTGCCCAGGCATTATTTTCCAGGCAGTAGTACAATAGCCCAGGCATAAAAAGGATTATTCTAAATCAAGAATTTCACCACCCTTGACATCAGCCATCAATCCCCACATTAGTATCACTTCACAGTTTATGGTAAGAGCTGTTTTGACATAATCTGTTTTAAGCAGAAGCAATAAAACACTGAAAGGTATGTTCTCAATCCTAACCCACAGCACTCACACACCCTAGCTTCAACTGTCAAATAAAAATTTTTCTTCATGTGGGAAAGCAAGGTCTAGAATCAATGTTATCATCTTCAAATCTTTACTTAAAGAGTACTTTAGGTTGATCAAATAGAGTTGAAGGACTTGCAATGCAATCTAAAGCATTTCAGGTTTACTTTTTCCAGGTTATTTGATCATACAGTATAGTTTTGAATGCAAGATAGAATCATAGACTGACTGAGGTTGGAAGGGACTTCTGGAGGTCATCTGGTCCAACCCTCCTGCTCCCGCAGGGCCATCCAAAGCTGGTTGCCCAGGACTGTGTTCGGGCAGCTTTTGACTATCTCCAAGGTGGGAGACTCCACCATCTCCCTGGGCAACCTGTGCCAGTGCTCAGTCACCCTCACAGTAAAGAAATCTTTCCTGGTGTTCAGAGGGCACCTCCCATGTTTCCGTTTGTGCCCACTGCCTCTGGTCCTGTCACTGGGCATTACTGGAAACAGTCTGGCTCTGTCTTTGCACTCCCTCTTCAGCTATTTGTATACACTGACAAGACCTACCTTGGCCCTCTCTATTCCGGGCTGAACTGTCTCAGCTCTCTTGGCCTTTAGTCACAGGAGAGAAGCTCCAGATCATTCATAACTTTTTGACCCTTTGCTGGGCTCTGTCCAGTATGGCCATGTCTCTCTTGCACTGGGGAGCCCAGAACTGGTCACAGCACTCCAAGTGCGCTCTCGCCAGTGCTGAGAAGAGCATAAGGATCACCTCCCTCAACCTGCTGGCAGCACTACTAATACAGCCCAGAATCCTTTTAGCTGCCATTGCCACAAGGGCACACTGCTGGCTCATGTTCCATTTTGTGACCACTAGGATCCCCTGGGCCTTTCCTGCAAAGCTGCTTTCCCCAGCATGTACTGGTGCATGGGGTTGTTCCCTGCCAGGGGCAGGGCTCTGCACTTCACTCTTTGCTCTACTTCATAAAGTTCCTGTCAGTGCATATCTTCAGCAAGCTGAGATCCCTCTGGAGAGCAGCACAACCTCTGGTGCATCAGCCAGTTCTCCCAGTTCTCTGTCACTCTGCCCCATCATCCAGATCATTAATGAAGCTGCTAAACAAGACTGGGCACAGTACTGACTCCTGAGGTACACTGCTAGTTACTGATCTCCAACTTGATTTTGTGTCATTGATTAACACCTTGGGCCCAGCCATTCAGCCAGTTTTAAACTATCTTACCATCTGCTCATCCAGACTGTAATTCATCAGCACCTCCACCTCATAATCTTATGGGAAACACTGTCAAAAGCCTTACTGAAGTCCAGGCAGACAATATCCACCTCTTCACTCATGTACCAAGCTAGTCATTTCATGACATAAGTTTATCAAGATAGTGAAATTCAAGCATGCTTGTGCACAACAATAATCACTCAGCCAGGGCTCCTATTAGGGAGCTTTTGTCTTCTTACCATTATCTTTTTTAAATTTCCTTTTTCCATGTGGCACTTTTCCACGAGGTGCTTTTCCACTCTTCCCCACGAACTTCTTTTTACCCTTAGTTTCCATTGTGACAACACTGCAAACGGAGCAAGAGACATCATTACCGGACCACCGTGGCTCCCTCACCGACGACGTGAGGAAAACACAGCCTGCGCTCCCCTCAACACCGGTTAACACACTTGACGGAGTTTAACCCTTCCCAGAGGCGGTCGCCCGTCCCTAGGTGGGCAGTGCAGGAGCAGAAGAGGTCGCCCACAGGCCGGCCAGCACGAAGGCTCAGCTAGACAAGACCGCACCTCATCGGACCTGGGCGGCCGCGGCCCCAGCCTCGCTCCCCAGG